CGGGGAACGGGCGGCGGCTGCCATCCCCACCCCCGCCCCCCCGCCGCGTCCACAGCTCTCGCGAGAACTCGAACGCTCCGCCCCGCCCCGCCCTCCGGAGGCGCGGGGGCAGCGGGCCAAGTTTCCTTTGGGCAGGTCTACAGTGAAGCAGCACCGCGCCCATGTTTGTCTCGGGAAGGGGCAGGAGGCGGCCACTGACCTGAGCAAAGATGGCCGAAAGCCTGGTCGCCGCGGGGTGACGTCACCTCGCTCCACAAGTGGGGTGGGGCCGCGCTCCACCCATGGCGACAGGCGACCCGCTGAGCCCCGCCCCCGGTTGTCACCGCGAGCCAATGAGCGGCGTGGTCCGCTGGCCTCTCCCCCTCTCGCGAGAGTGGGGAGCTGAGCCCCTTCCTGCAGGCGCCGGCAGAAGGGCGGCAGGTCGCGCCGGCAGCTGCTGTCAGCGGTTGCGCTCCGCTCCCCGGTTCGGCGATGGCGGCCACCGTGGCGGGGCTTCGCGCCTCTTACCACCGCCTGCTCGACCGCATCGAGCTTAAGCTGCCGCCGCGGCTGCGGCCCATCTACAACCACCCTGCAGGTACCGGCCGAGCTGGGGTCACAGTCAGAGTTAGGGTCAAGATCAAGGGTACGGTCGTAGCTAGGGAGGCGCCGTGACCTTGGCGCGGTCCCACCCCGAGGTTGCTCTTGGGGTCGCTCGAGAGACCCCCGGGGGCCCGGCCTGGGATGATGCTGCCCAAGGCTGGGGTCGAGCTCAGCAGGCCTTGGGGGTCCCTTCTCATCCCGCTGCTCTCTGAGTGTGTGACATACTGCCAGGGGGGCACTGAGCCGGGAATGGGGGGAGCTGTGGGCTGGGCTGGTGCCGAGCCACGTCCCTCTGCGTGTGCATGGTGTGATGCTGGCACCGGTTTGGGGCTGGGGACCTGAAGAGAAATGTGTCAGCAGGGCAGGAGGGGAGAGCTGGGGTGGAAGGGAACATCCCGAGGCACAGAGATGAGGACAGTGGTATCGATGATCTGAATGAAACTGTCACCTGCAGCTTCTCGGCCTTTGCCTGCCCGAGACAAAATCCCTCAGCTAGAGTCACTGCTTCATCACAGTTCTCCATGCCATGGCCCCTCTCACAGCTCTGCATCTCTTGGGGTCCTTTGCCAGCAGTGGAGCAGCAGCTGGTTGCTTTGTGCTAGGCTGAGTAGATGCACGCCGGTGATTCTCGAGCAGGAGCTGGAGGACGTGGCACCCTACGCTGCCTTGTGGCCCTTTCAAGGGCACCACACAGTGGTGCTGCAGTGAGACCTGCAGATAAGTCACAATAGAAACCTGAAGGTTTCCCATAAGAAGCAACAGCATTTTAAAATGTTCTGGCCCACTGCAGCATTCCTGTGTTCTTTGCTCTGTTTTCTCATTGTCAAAACCAAAACAGTGGGAAACGCAAGCTGGTATATGCCAAGGGGCGCCTCCAGTCGGCTGAGGGTGCCTGGGTTCTGAAAAGATTGAGGACCTGCTGGCTTATGCTTTAGGATCCTCTGAGCAGTTTATGAAGCTGATGCTGCTGTGATTAAAGGGCCTCTAAAGAGAGAGCAAAACAGTGCAGCTTTTCTTGAAATAAAACCTCTGCCCTCACCTGCTCTGTATTTGCTTACTCCTGCAAACACTGCTTTGTGTTGGTAGTTGGAAGGGGGTTAGTTGGAAAGATTACCAGGCCAAACTCTGGTCAGTTATTTCTTGATATATTTTGCTGCGTATTTTTAGCTGGCAAAACAAAGTGAAAGTATCTTGTCTTCATGCAAATACTGATGCATGGCCTGTGTTTTACCATGGTTGTATGCCTTTGGTATGTATCTATATGGCTGGTACTTTACCATTCCTTTTGATTTTAGGCTCTCCTGCCACTGCTAACTGGCAGGGAATTTGTGACAGTTCAGTCCACCATCCTGTTTGGTGCCTTCTGTGGGTGTAGGAGAGAATGGGAGGCCTTGAGAAAAGAATATGCCAGAAAATACCAGTGGAGCTTGTAGTATAAGAGGAATCGTGCTCACCCACCACTGACGTAGCAAATTCTGCTCTCATGTGCCTGTGTTAAAGGGCAGAAGTTGGCCAAAAATTTCAAGCTATACATATTGAAAGTGGATGTTCTTACTCCTGTGGCCACAATTGATGATAACAAGGGAAACTTCATCAGAGTAAAAACATTTGGAAAAGACAAATAGTATTTCCAGCCTAAAATCTGGTAAACAAACAGATTCCACAGGCATTTGGATAGCTTGCTTGATGAAAAGTTAATCTTTCATGGACTGCTGTTGCTGCCGTTTTCTTTGGATATGTACATGTCCTTGACTCTTCCTCTACTTAGCATGTGCTCTCAGGTGCACTGTGATGATGTAGTGGTGGAACTAGGTGACTGATTAGCTTCCAATAAAGACTGGCTGAATTTGAGGCAGTTTCTTTTTTACAGTGATTTTAGTTACACAGTGCAAAATGTGACTTTTAACAACTTAAGTGTAATTAAATCTGATCCAAAATGATTGGTGAGGCTGCAGATGGAGTACTGCGTCCAGTTTTGAATGCTGCACTTCAAGAGGGATGAGGGTAACCTTGAGAGGGTTCAGAGGAGGGCTACTCATATGGTTGAGGGGCTGCAGGTAAGACCCTATGAAGACAGACTGAGGGATCTGAATCTCTTCAGCCTCTGCAAGAGAAGGCTGACAGGTGACGTTGTGGCTGCCTGCAAACTCATTAGGAGGGGCCAGTGGGGAGTAGGGGACGCTCTGTTTACCAGGGCGCCCCTCCGGGTTACCAGAAATAATGGCCACAAACGAAAGGAGAACAGATTTAGATTGGACATAAGGAAGAAATTCTTTACGGTGAGGGTTGCCAAAATATGGAATGGGCTTCCAAGGGAGGTGGTGCTTTCCCCTACCCTGGAGGTGTTCAAGAGGAGATTAGACAGGTATCTGGCTGGGGTTACCTGACCCCAGCCCTCTTTCCTGCCTGGAGCCGGAGGTCGGACCCGATGATCTACTAGGTCCCTTCCTACTCTAGGAATCTATGAAAATCAATGCCAGTATAACGCACTGGTTTCATTTGATCAGTCTGAACAATTAAACCGATCAAACTTTCCTGTTTAGATGGGCTGTCAGTGTTCAGTGCCTTTGCAATAAAGGTGTCCAAAACGGAATGCCTCGCTGAACTTACCTGAAGTGCAGCTATTTCTGTCTGCTTGCTTTCATAGATGGGGAGCATTACAGTGGCCGCAGAGACTACCACATTTGTTCATTCTTCATCTGAACTGCAGTACTGTATTACAAGCAGGAGGCAATGTTTCACTACCGAGGTTTGAATATCATCTATGGGCTAAGCCAGGGCCACTTTAGGGCAATGAACAGTACCTGAAGTAATAAAATATTGTAGTGATTTTTCTCTTTTTGTACAAATAAATCCCAGGTTGTCCTTATTGACAGCTTCAGTTTTAATACCCATTTGATCATTTTACTGGATGCCTGTTCTGTGGATAGGCCTCTCATCTTCAGAACTCTTGGGCACATTTTGCTAGGACAAAATCCATCCCATATGGAAACAATTAAAAAGCTTTTAATCTCTCCTGGTGAAGTCTGGTTTTATGACTTCACTTAATAACAAGGACATTCCTTCTAGATTATAAATTGCTTGCATCTGCCTAACAAATATCTGTTTACTTTCGACCGGTAGAAACCTTCCAGCTGAATACTGATCCCCGTTTTCAAAAAACCTTCTGTTCTGTTAGTCTTTCAGCAACAAAGGTTGCCCAAGGACAGTGATGATGTCTGACAAATGAGAGGTAACCAGCTGAAGTCAAGTCCACTGGGTCCAAATTAGACAAAGCCTTGTTGGCCAACTTTTAGAAGCGAGTCACTTTGTCTCGGAATACTCAGGGCCCAGAGTCACCTCTGGGATGATTATTGCCATCTGGATGAATGCCATTCAGTCCATTTAGTTAATATGCTCTTGTAAACTCAGGTGGCTTTCATTTTTCTTCTCTTTATAGGAACTGGTTGTATTTCATTTTGATTAACTGGTAATTTATTTCATTTTTTCCGTAATTTCTTGTCTTGTAAAGAGCCTTGCAAACCACCTCCTCTGTTCATTGTCACCATTACCATATCCATCTTAAAACTCCATGCATTTAGGAGAGCAATCAAAAGATATTCCAAAACTCATGGCTTTAAAAACTACAACCTAGCTTTTCTGAAGCCTTTTCCTCAAGTGTGTGTACTGGTTTCTTGGATTGGTAGCTGATAGGGTGCCCTTGTTTAAGAGGGGAAGACATTTAGAGGAAATTGCACAGAAAAGGGGTGTTTACACCATGCATGTTTTTAAGTTTGCAAGTACAGTCAATTGCTAAACAACTTGAACAGACAACTTCCTGGGGGCTGGAATATAACTGCCTAGCACAAGGAGTGACAAAGAGCCCTGTCATAATCTTGAAGAAATAAGCATGTTTAAAACCATGGTGATTGGAAAGATGCCCCAGATGTGCTCAGACTTGCAAGAGGAAAACTTCTGAGTGGAGGGCCCTTGATGCAGCAGACGCTGCCTTCTGTCTCTTGGATCGTGGCTGAGTTCTTCTTGGGTCCTTCTGCTTCTCCTTTTTCACTGTTGCAAGACCTACAAGTCCAGTCTGAGGAGCATTCATAGCCCTAACTTAAAGCTTTAAATAATAAGAATGTGATTTGCAGGTGGTGTAGCTCCTCAACTCCAGTGTTACACCTGGCTCCAAAATAAATACTGCTACACTCTCTTCTGCAGGGCTTCTCCAGGCATCTTCCCCAGTAAGATCCAGATGCAGAGAAAGAAAGGACATCCAATTTTGTGGCTGATGCTGCCACCAACTGTAAACTGTGGAAGTGGAAGAGACTAAAAGATTGAGAGAAGGGAAAAAGCTTATAAGAGTAAGAACATAGATGATGGTTCTTTCAACCCTGGGCAGGGAAACAATTTGGTAACTTCTTAGCAGAAGTGTTCAAACCTGATTTGGCAGAGAAACATAAGGCCCAAGTAGAAAAGGCTTTTTCTTGGCACTGTTTGCAATATAATGATAAGCTACACTTGGGAAGCTTTCTTTTGGTATAGTAAAAAAACATTTGATACATTATATTGGTTTTTATTGTGCATGGTGTGGTCATGAGTGCTTTTAATCTTTAACTATTTGGGGAGGTGGAGGGTATAATGAAGTTTGCAGTTTAGAAAAAAAAAATCTATGTAGAAGTTCAAACAGGCAGTGCAGTGCCTATTGTAAAACTGGGTCTGAAGATCTAGTAGTATATTAAACAGAGACCTTGTCAGGAGCATTGTCAGGCCAAATGCTGCAACTAGCAGTGTTCATACAGTACAGAACCTCCATTTTAGTTTTCATACGTACCAAATAACTGCCTCCTAATGAATCTTTATGGATAGTACTGCTACAGTATGCTACTGCTATTCATGATAAAATGGCATTTTTACTAGAGTGTAAGCTTAAAGTAAATCAAACTTGGGGCATGAGTCTCCAATACACCAGAAGACAAAATACTTGAACTACTTGAGCCAAAATACTTTAGTTATCTCTGAGCCTTCTGGACTCAAGGTGGCCATAGGTGCTTGATACTACAGGAATTTTTCTGTTAAAGTCACTGACACTTGCTCTGGTTCTGCTGCTGTACCTTGCTAGGCACCTCTTTCTGTGCTTGCCAGCTAGAACACACACATTTAAAAAAACAGGTTGCCTGTTCCAAGTTCTGCTAGAATGGTCACAAAACTACAGTGTTTCTCTTTAGAAGGAATTGTATAAAAGCAGAAAGAGGTCTGTCTAAGAGGGAAATTAAATTGCCATTTTTGTGCCGTACTTCCAGATTCTTCTACAAAGTATGGAATGGATGTTTGTTGACCATAATTTCATAATATTGCATGTTGATTACAAAAGGAAAAATCTAAAAAAGACCGCTTACACAAGTCAGCAAAATAAAACTCCCTTAAAGAGAGTATGTTATATATTGTAAGCAAAGTACTGCCCAATGAGAGAGAGATCAGATATCTATCGCTAAGATGATGATGATGATGATGATGATGATAATAGCTGTCTAAATTCCAGATCTCCCAAGTTCTTGGGACTTTTTCCCCCATTTGTTTAGTAAAAAGCTAGCTTTAAATTCTGTAAGTCTAGAGACAATGTTTCCTAGAACTTAGTATTGGCAATCTGCCAGGAAAAGAGGCATTTGATAGCATCATGAGATTCAGCTGTACGAATTCTACCACAGTCTAACAGCATTAGTGAACACTTCTGGTTTCCAAGATGTGTTTGACAGTAATGTGGATACAATAAATGAACCCCTAAATGTACCTTGTGTACCTGCGCTTTGGAAAATTTGCAGATCGGATGACAAGCTGAATGGGATGGAGGCTTTAATCTGTTACGACACTGCAGTGTTGTCAAATTGACTTAGCTCTTGGGAATGGATTATTCTTTCCATTTTCAGTTTGCCTCCTACTTTGCCAGTTTGCTTAACAGCACTGGACTTTGTACCATATGGGAAGAACAGTGTGTTGCAAACTTGCACTAACTATTGAGACCCTCAATGGAGCGTAAACATGCTTGACAGGCAAGCTACCAACTCGGGCACCTAACTTCTGCCACTTGTGTTGATAAGGATACAAAAACACAGAGGCATTTTTCACCCCATGTCTGATTTTGGGGGATGGGGGGGTGGATACTGTACTCCCAGTCAGAGACCCTAAGCAGGTCTGAACCTACCATGTTTTGAATGAGACAGACTCAAGGTCATAGTTTTTCTTCTTTTCTAGACTATGAATGGTAGCTCTGCTGGGCGAAGTCCAACATGAATAATCACCATGGCTTCCCTGAATTCTACTTGCATTTTTAATTGTAGCCTTTTTCTTCACTTGCTAACAGGCTACAGCAAATCTCCTTGAAGCTTAGGTGGGTGGACAGTAGTTATTGCCTCATTAGTACTGTCCTAAGGACAAAAGGCAATTGAATGTACTGGCTAGATCAAGTCTTTTTATGGCAAAACTTGCTGTAAGAGTGGATCTATGAGTAATGCAGGTTTCCAAGTACTGCTAGCCAGGAATCTACTTTTTGCTTCCCTACTATAGCTGTTCCTTCACCTAATGTTAAGTTAAGACGGGTTCCATGGGTTATGACCTTAGACTCATCATTGTAATAAAGTGTTTTTATTTTATATACGATGTGTGTTTATATACGATGTGTGCTGGATGCAAGGCATGGTACGACTTGCAGAAATTGTTAAAATATGGTGGTACAGATATGTGTAAGGGCATAACAAACTCTACAGTTGCTTAAATATTTCACTCTTTTTCAGGTCCCAAGACAGTGTTTTTCTGGGCGCCTGTTATGAAATGGGTAAGTATGGAATAGCAATGTGTGTGGCTGGTACACATACCTTTTCTGCAGGTCTGAGAGTTACCTTCCTCAACCCAAAAGGAATATGACCTAGTCCTGTTCAGTGTCTGTGCCCTAGGTTATTCAGGTTAGATTTGTTATTAAGACTTTAGTTAAGATGTTTAGATGTGAAGAAGCACACTGAGTGCAGCTCTGGGAGTGGGGCAGGAGGGGTTGTAGGTGCAGTGTACTGGAGCTAATACTGTTGTGAAAGCAACTTACCCTTCACTAACCTCTAGGAGTTAAGCATTTCCCTTGAGGCCTCTGTTGTGAAATAGAATCCTGCCCATGGTCTGCATAAGCCAGGTCCAATACAGACTTTCTCTCTGAAACACAGTATCTTAACAATCCAACAATATTTTCTCCTGCAAGTCAGACAGCTTGAACAGATCTTCAGATAGGGAGGGCTATAAGGTTATTTTGAACAAGTGGTGTCTCCACCCTATTGAAGGGTAGTGTAGAATAGAGTTTGACTTGATAGGCTATTCATGCCAAGAGGTATTTACGCTTCTTCAGTAACTTTAGATGTGTTACCTGTGCAGTGTGTTAAGCAAAGCTTGCACTAGTATTGTAACAGTCAAAAAAAGTTAAAACAACTCAATTAAATGGCCTTCATAGTGCAGCTCCCAACTTGTAGTTCTGCTGTTCTGAAATGTAGTGGCTTGAATCCATAAGGCAAGTCCACTCTCAGGGTCTCTGACTACATACACACATTCAAATAACTTGGTGGAATTCTCCCAGGTTTGTTCTCCTGGTAAAGAAATTTACCCAGAGCCACATGTACAGCCATTCAAATGCTGAGTCCCTGACAAATGGAGAGTTTGTAGTACTGATGACACTGTGCAGCCCAGGGCAGGGGGTTGCCACTGCTAACATTGCTTGACACTGTTCCTTAGTCTCCCTGGCAACAGATCTGGTTGGCTGACCCGGACTTGCCCATGGTCAGCCTGTGTTTCCCTGAAGCACAATGGGGAGATTGTGAAGGGAGCATGTTCTCTCTGCTGAAGTATCAGACTCCAGCAGGGGACAAAGTCTTCCTGGGAGGGAGGGGAGAAATTCTGGAGGACTGTTTTCTCTTCTGAGACAAACCACAGCATATATAGACAACTCTCATGGGAATGATTTAACCCTGGTTGTTCCCAAGTTATTTTTCTCTTGGAGCAGCCATTTTTACCATGGGACAAAAGGTCCGAACATCTGTACACTCACGTTTTCTCCTGGGAGAGCAGCAACTCTTCCAGGAGAAACTGAATGTCTGTATGAGGCCATTATCTCAGACCCTGGATCTAAGCCATGTTAGTGCTTTTGGTCCAATGTTGCCATTGGCACAGTGTCAAAAATATGAGCCAGCTAGTATTTGTGGAACAGCGTCATGAAAATATTTACCAGCTTTCATGTATCGGGTAATATGACAGGCAAATGACTCTCCCTGCCACCTCCAGTCCATAGCTTCAAGCAGACTCTCCTGTTCACTGCTTCTCTACCAGTCAGGCTCTGTATGAATATTGTGCGTAGATTATGGAAGCATAGAAAGCACTCTACTGGATTCATACTGGAGTATCATTCTGATAACACAAAAGTGATAAAATGACTCTACCCTTCCATAGTGGTGAGGAGCTTGCTGTGTTAATCTGTATTAAGCCATGTGAACTACATTCATGATGCAGTGAGGATACACTCCCAAGCCTCAATCAATCAAAGTAAAGGACTCCTTACTGGTACTAGTAGTTTTCAAACTAAGTTGTTCTGTAGCAGCCACTAGACTACAAGTGACTACTAAGGAAGCTTCTTTCCAGCAGGGGGCAGGTATTCTGCCTTGACGGTCACTTGTATATTGCCTACCTGTTCTTCTAAAACTCTGCAATGCTATAATAAAGAAATTACTTTATCCCAAGAGTGGGAATATAGTATTTGTAATGACCGGTCACTTCTGTGGTTTATCTCGTCTCATTCTCAGTGTTCAGCACTGAGATAACCATTATCAAACAGAGAGAGTAATCTTGTTCCTTCCTGCTAGCGGCCTGTGCTGTGACGCTTGAGTGTCTGTCCATTATATTACCCAGTTTTGTAACAGTGGATGTCATTTATCCACATAAATATCTCTTTAGTCTTTCAATTTTGCTGAGTATCTGGCCTCTTCTTGTGGTAATGAGTTCAACCAGTTGCCTTTCATAAATGCTACAAGTAGGAAATGGGTTGAAATTGAAAGCCAAGTTTTAAGTGACATCCCTTTTATCTAAAAAACTAGACAACTAGGAATACTCAAATGACTTTTTTATAAGTCTGTCATGTTGCCTTTCTCTAAACAGTCCTATCTTTTGTTTCGTCCAGTGGAAGTCTCTTCGTGCCTATAACTTGCATAGCCTCTTCTCACACTCTGACACCAGAACTGAAAGCAGTTTTGGGTAGTTTCTGACCCTAGATTTAATACAATAACATACCTTTATTTTCTATCTTTATTTTATTTTATTTTTTTTGGATCTTAACATTGTTTTGTCTGGCCTTTCTTGTCCACTTCATCTTTACCCAAAACTCTCATCAGTCAGGACAGCAAGATCCAGGACTATTTTTTTCCTGTAGAAGTCCAATAAAATTAAAGTGCTGCAGTGTCTGTAAGTATTAGTGATGTTCTTTTATGCTGTCCATACAGAATGGTCTCTCCTGTTGCTTCAGTGTCTGGGTGTCATAATAGTAAGCTCTTTGCATCTAATGTACATATCCAAATTCAAAATGTTTGGAAAACACTTCACATGGGTCTGGATTTTGAAAGCTTGAGTGTTAAAATTGAGTTTTCTGTAGGAACATGTTTGCAGGAAAACTAAATCTCAAGTGAAATAATCTGGGGTAGCTGCTGTCTCTTGAAGCGGGGGTTGGCATGGTCTTACAGGGTGGGGGGTCACTAATAGAGCCTGGCTTTAAGTGCAGGCCACTTCCAACCCATCCCACTCCACCACTGTTGAAATGTTGCAGAAGCTCCCTGGCTCAGTGGGCTGGATAAAATGGCTCTGGAAGTGGCCTGTAAGCTCCAGGCTGCTGGCTCCTGTTCTAAAGAATCTTTCTGTGGGGATACACTGGCACTGTTCTGTATCTGTTGCCCCTCCTCTCCACAACCCCCGCCCCCATGAAATGACCATTTCAGCAATCGCAAATGGACAGCTCAGGATATGACATCTGGCTCCTGCCCACCTTCTCTTAGTAACACAACTAACTTGAATTAGGAAGTGTGCAGGTACAGCACCTAGTGCCAGGGGCCTCTGAGCCATACTGTCAGAAGCATGCACAAGAGTGAGCATAAATTCCCAGCTCAGTGAAGTTTGCTTTATCTCATTTTTACAGGGTTTGGTATGTGCTGGAATGGCAGATATGACAAGACCAGCAGAAAAATTGAGCACAGCACAGTCTGCAGTGTTGACGGCTACAGGTAAAAATGTTCTGTTACTACACACCTCTTAGTGCCTAAAAAGCATTTTAAAAAATTTTTATCTTATCCATTTAAAAAAAATAATCAGTAGCTAAGCCTCAATTAAATAGTAAATTGACCGTCTAGAAAGATAATCATAGTAGTATAAGATGCAAAGTTTTTTAACTTATACCTGCTATTAAAATACCTCCCTCTCTCTAGAAGCCCAGGTATTTTCTATTAACATTACTTGGTAGATTGGGGTGTCAAAAATCCAGCCTGCAGAGCCATATCATCTAGCCCCCAGTGCTTCCCATAGGTCTTGGAGTAACCCAAAGGCAGCATGTTGGGCATGCTGAATGGTCCCATGCGTTGCACATGGTGCCTGCTCCAGCTCAGATCCTGGAGCAGCAAAACAGCTTCTGCATGCAACACAGACTGATGGTAGTGGCACCAGGCCCATGCAGGACAGCCCTGGAGGAGAACCAGGCCTTGGGCAGTGCCCACTCCAGCCACTCCAGGATACATGCTGGATCTGGAATGCAGGGCCAGTCTGTCCGACCTGCAAACCAGTACTGTACCACTCCACCAGGAGAACTTGCAAATATTGGTCGTGATGGTTAAGAGAATTTGCACATATTTGGGGGGCTTGTCCGTGAAGGAAGTTAAAGCAATACCAGTCACAGCAAAGTTTATCATAGAGGTTCAAGTACCCCTTGGTGTGTGCACAGAACTTCTAAAGAGTATATAAGAGGAAGGAATGGGAAAGAGAAGGAAGAAAAAGAAACATATCCATAAACAATAGTGTAGGAGTAATGACAGTATTAGTCTTATTTACACAGAATCATGGGTGCACACTAGTATACAACTTAAGGGGTTTCAGACAAATACATAACTTTTGATTTCATTTGTGTAACTATAGAAGCCATTTTAGCAAGAAAAAAACAAACAAAAACCACCCTTATTTTAGTATAAGTATCCATGTAAAGTCACAGGGTTGGAAGAGACTTTTAAGGATCATCTGGTCCTTAACTTGCAGTTGTACCAATTGAAAACTACTTCTACTGACTTGTTCTGGGGCTGTCGGTTAACTTACACGATTAATGTGAAAACAAATTAACGTGTTAATTTTTTTAATCATTCATATAGTTTTGACCAGGGGAGTGGACCAGCTGGAACCTATGCACACAGCCCCAACCATGGCCTGCCCAGTGCCTGCTCCAGACTCATCTGCCCATGCTAAGCAGCAGTGGCAGCAACCTGGCAAAAGCTGCTACTCAGCATAGGGGAAAAGCGGCCCCTTTTCCTTACTGCTGCCAGGCCATTCTTGCTGCAGCCTCCCAGAGCCTGCACCCAGGTTGCCCTGCAGCTTCTCTCTGCTGCTGTCACTGCTGCCTCTGAGCTGCCCAGCAGGGCAGCAGTGGCAGTGCAGAGGAGCCACAGGGCAGCCCAGGCACGGGCTGTAGGCAGCTGCAGCATGAAGGGCCTGGCAGTGGTGAAGGGGAGGGGCTGCTTTTCCTCTGCACTGAGCAGCAGCTCCTGCCTGGCTGCTGCCACTGCTTAGCATGGACAGGTGAGTTTGGAGCAGGTGTGGGGTGAGGTGGGCCAGTCAGAGCCATTTACATGGATTTCAGATGGTCTGCTCTAGCCAGGGCAAGTCAGGAGAGGGCGTGGGATGGGCCAGGGTTGGTGGTGGTGGGGAGGAGCCACAGGGTACATGGACTGGGCTTTTGGTGGGGTGGAAGGGTGCTGACAGTTGTTTAACTGTGATTAAAACTGCAATTAATTGAGATTGATTTTTTTTTTAATAGTTTGTCAACCATAGTTTGTAAATGTAGGCTGTTTCTTCTCTTTCCAATAAACTCAGTAAAATGCAGCACTGACTTACACAGCTCTAGATAAGGACCTAACAAAATCATGGTGGAAGTGCACTGCACAGTAGCTCCTTTAATCTTGCTCGTTTTGCCACAGGGTACCCCGTCCCTGGTTGGTGGAGGGTCCTGGTAGCCCCACTGCTTACTGCTGATAAACTGGGAGGCAAAAACTGCAGTTTTAAATATGCTATGGATTCATAGATTGTAAGGCTGGAAGGGATCTCAGAATATCATTGGGTCCAGCCCCCTGCACCAGGCAGGAAAGACAGGTGGGGGTCAGGTGACCCTAGCAAGGTGACCATCCAGTCTCCTCTTGAAGATTTCCAGGGTAGGTGATTGCACCACCTCTGGAGGGAGCTTATTCCACAGTCTGGACACTCTGAATAAGTTTTTCCTGATGTTGAGCCTCAAACAGTCTTCCAGGACTTTGTGGCCATTACTCCTGGTTTTGCTCAAGGGTGAACAGTTGTTCACCAAGCCCTTGATGTATTCCCCTGATGTAGCAGTAAGCTGCTACCAAGTTCCCTCTGAGCCTTCTATTTTTCAGGCTGAAGAGTCCCAGGTCCCTCAGCCTTTCCTTGTATGGCTTGCTGGGGGCAGGGGGCACGGCAGCATGAACTTATATAAGTTTTATAAATATATAACTTAATAAAATATAAAAAGTAAAATCTGTTTTTTGTCATTTGAAATTCATCAGTCACTCTTGATGGGCAATTTCCTAGTATGTATACATATTTTTTTGTTTGTTTGTTTGAATATTGAGAATAATTCTGTTGTTCTACAGGCCTTATTTGGTCAAGATACTCTCTAGTCATCATACCTAAAAACTGGGGCCTGTTTACCGTGAATTTCTTTGTTGGCTGTGCTGGTGGTTCCCAGCTCTTTCGAATATGGAGGTATGTACTAGAAACTAACAGGAGGATTCTCATTACTTAAATAAAAAAGCTATTCTAGGTGGCTTCTGCATTTCCGTTGTTCATCATTGGGAGGGGTTGGGGGTGGGGAGGAAGGCACTTTAATTAGCGCTAATTAAAGTGTTCAGTGTCAGATGCATCAGTGTCCCTGTGCTGAAAAATGGCAGTGGAGCACTTCTGAAATAAAGCTCCTCGAACAAACTTTAAAGCACTCTGCTGCCATTTTTCAGCATGGGGACGCTGATGCACGTGACACTAGAATCTGCTGGAGCACAGTAATTACCACGCTCCAGCAGACTCTATTAATTGAGTCTGCTTCAATGCTCTGTAATTACAGCATGTCAGAGCAGCCTCCCTGCATGTGTATAGGAGCCTTTATTAGGCACATCTACACAAGATGCAATTATTCAATAGAATAATTTTACTGCGCATTAATACATCATGGCAAAAGCCATGCCAATGCACAGTAGAACTAGTCTATTATGCATTAGCATCATCTAAAAGATGTGTGCTGCTGCTGCACAGTAGTGCTGATTATGGCACATTTAAGTTGGTACCTGTTATTACAGGTACCAAACTTAATGCACTGTAATTATAGCACATTAATGCACATATAGATGTGCCCTGTTTCTGCTATTTTAATCAGGCTTAAAGAAATTACTTGCATAAGTGAAAACTTTTGCCAAACGCAATTATCAACTTGCTTTTTGGCCAGTTTTTTTTCAACAAGTTGACTTTAAGATTGTAGATCAATTTAAAGTACAATTAAAATGAATTCAGGGATGCTGACAACTTGAAAGTTTAGTTGCTATCCAGGATTTGAACCATCATCCTGGGTGTCTCCTTGTAAATCTATGCCTGATTCTAAAGGACTGTGGCAATTAATGATGTCATTAAGGGCAAGAGGCCTGAACCAAACCCCTTTTTCCCCTACTGCCAATTACATACTTTGGTAGACTTTGAACTGCTGTCCCTTAAATTCTGGTTGGTTCTTCTTTGAGCATGATTAGTGAAAAGATCTCCAGGAGTTTCTCTGTTTTAAAAGTCACACCAGTTCTGTAAATTGCTACTGCAGTGATGAGCTAGAATAAAGCCAGAAGCTGCCACTTCATTAAGGAGTTCAATGTTTGTTCAGCTGCTTGGGAGCCTTTGTTAGTAATTTTGAGGCAAGGATTTTTAGGGTAACTTTTTTATTAGACCAACTGCATGGTTGGGATAAAGTTAGACAAGCTGTTGGATGCAAGCCACCAGATGAAGAATGCCTAGCATTTGACAGTTAGTTTACCTCCTAGTGTGGGTAAGGATATTCAGTAGTGGGATCACATGGTTTATAAGTTAAACAATGTGAACTGCAAGCAGTACCATTACTATTTGAGAGAGTAATATTATGAAGGTGTTCCAAAGACAGCATGCTTTCAAACTCTACTTCAGTTTACTATATGCCGACTTTGCTTATGTTTTTTTCTACAGATATAATCAGGAACTAAAGGCAAAGGAACAAGAACAGCAGCATCAGAAAGAAGCTTAACCCTACTGACTGAATCCAGCCACACACACTTTCCAGTGGGACCCAGCTTGACTGGTTTTAATCTTTTTCTCTGTGAAGAGAAAACATAACCTTTCTAAATGTCTAGAGAACAAACATTTCTATCACTGGAGATAATATGCAGTGCCTCTACATATTTACGTAAAATATAACGTTTAAATTATAGTTGATGTAACCAACTGTCTTGAGTGAGTATGCTTTGTATTTTGCCTTTTGGAAGAAACTGGTTCTTCAATGATTGGTGGCTTAGCAAATTGTCAGAACCAGTTCTGGCATCCATTGAAATCTGACTGCTGGCAAGGTGACATCCCTACACAAATTAAAACAAGCTCTTGAAAATCTAAGACTAGTCCTTCAAAATTAGATGCACTGTGTAGCAAGTGCAAGTCTTACCTACCAACTATCATATGGCATTAGAGCAGCACTCTTGCTTTCAAGACCATGACTCCTGTGTTTCTTTCCCCCCAACACCTCCTTTTCTAGGACTGTGGTTTGATTCTTTCCATTGCCCCATTCTGTATTTCTTCTGACTTGTTTTCTTGCAAGATGCATGAGGCCTCCTTTTCTCCTTTTGATGATCAGTTTCCATTTGCATTCTCAGTTGGCCAGTGCCCATTGCTGTCCAATTTATTTTGCAAAGTAATTTCTGAGCATTTAATTGGCCATTCACTTTATAGGAGTGGAGAGAGGCTGGCAGAAGCCTTTCCAATTGCTATCATTGTAATTTCTTGTATCCGCAAAAATAAGGAGCATTTATGAGTAAGACTGTTGCACAGCTCCTCCCCCCCAATCCCAAAACGTTCAGATAGGATCTAGGAAATGTGCCTAATGCAAGATAAACCCCCACCTGCAAGGAGCTTGCAGCCAGGAGAGAACTCACTAGGAAACACAGGAGTCACCTTCCTGTTGTGGAATGAAGTAGTGGTCATGCATAATGTCTACACACACAGACCAGGTGAACTGCTGCATCATTACTCCATTAAATTGTATGATAGTCAAAACCAAAATCCTGAGTTCCTGCTTTAACCATTACCTGCTCCTTCCTCAATACAGCATGCTTAGCAATTCAAAAAGCACTGTACTAACCGTGCCCATCTACCAGAAAGTCACCCTTTTCCCTGAATTATGGCCAGCGCAAAGCAGGGAGGTACACAGCCAGCTCTAGATGGTTAAGGAAACAAAGCAGACCACTTTCAAAGAGTTGTTTGGATTTCACCATAAAGCAGAGGCCTGATTACACTGTAGGAACCCCCATAAAAACAACAGAACACAGGCTCTGATCAGCATGCAAGGTGCTTGTGAAAGACACCTTACTCTCTCCTTTTCCCAGGCTAAGTTAAAAGAGCAATGATGGCTCTACACCAGGGGTGGGCAAAATGCGGCCTGCAGGCCAGACGCACCCTGCCAGGCCATTCTATCCAGCCTGTGGGGCCCCTAAAAAGCTTAGAAAATTAATATTTATCTGCCTGTCATGAAGCCCTCGATGGCTTGCCAAAACTCAGTAAGTAGTCCTCCGCCCAAAATAATTGCCCACCCCTGCTCTACAATGATTGCAAGTTAAAATTAAGCTAGAAATTAAAATGTTTCTAACCTGTAAGGACAGATGTTCTGAACCAGCCTTCCAAAAGGCATAGCACGAGCCACATAAAAACCTGAGATAAATAAATAATCCCATTCCTAAATTTATGCTTCAACATAGCTGCTCACAAGAGCAGGATACTGCAGTCCAGTATATAAGGTACTTCACAGTCCTGTGTTTCTATATGGTTCTGAGGAAAGCCCATTGTTGTGTATTAACAGCAAACCAGGGTAGAGTCCCAGGTCATATATGCTGTGTTTCATAAATTTTAAGCCCAGAAGGGACTCTGTACTCTAGTCCAAGCTTTTTAACAATTAGCATTTGCTGAGGCAGGCTCTCCTAGCGGGGAGAGCTGTTTAACCACTGACCTATTTAATCTAGGTCAGGGGTTCTCAACTTTTTTACTCAAGGCACTGCTCAAAAAGTGCCACACCTTAGTTTCACTTGTTTTTAACTACAGATAAGTAACAGAGCAATTCTTTGGTGGCAAAGAACTCAGAAAAACCACAACAGGTCAATGTTTTGATGCTATGGATTCCTATTTGAAATCTCAGGGTTCATCTTGTAAATCATGGTGCAGGAGTCTGCATATCTAACACTAATTTTAGCACTGTATCTTTTAAAAGGATCATAGGGCATCCTAGATTTGAGAATCACTAATCTGCCATATTTACCTGAATCCAAGACAACTCTTAAATTAAGATGATCCCCCAATAATTAGACTGTAGACATGGAAAATGTATACACTGGTTATAATTTTCCAAGTATAGAATTATTGGAGCATTGTTTTAAAATTTGTCATCCCTTCCCTACCCCACCCTCATTGCTGCAGCAGGGAGACAGGCCCACTGTAGTGGGGAAGGCAGTGGATAGGAAGGGGGGCAGTAAGCAACCAAAATCAGATCCACAGCACCCCCTTCTCCCCCTGCAGCCTTGTATTCAAATCCAAGATAGGAGAAAAAAGATCTTTATGTTAAATGGGGGGACCTCATTTTTTGAGTCAAGTAAATAGTAAGTACTTTTTGTCAACAAATACTGAAAAGCCCTCTGCTAAGCATGTTTATCTCTTAGTTGACTGAAGTCATCCCACCTGTTATTCCTAGGTCTGCTACCAACTTGCTGAGCAAGTTGCTGCATACACCACTAACCAGTTCCTGTAGCTTGACCATGGAGATCACTTCCCAACCTCACAAGGAATCCTGCATTTTAATGTGTGCACGGTACTCCTAACACCCCTCCCCCCCAATAGTTTCTCCAGCCATGCAATATGTTCTGATACCGGGTCTCATATCAGTTGGAGAGAAGTGGATAACATTTCCTTTGGAGAGTCTGAACCTGTACAGAAGGCAACTTTTGTGTTTGTCTTCCTCCTCCATCCTGATCCATAACCAGCTCTGATTTGTGTAACAGATTACAACAGACAAACAATGGAAAAAAAAGTGTATTAAAATATTCATAAGATTACAATAGAAAACATGAAAGTCAGTTCAAGAAAAAAAATGTCCAGTACAATTGTGTCCAAATCAGATTAATCTATCAAAGCAAAGCACAAAGAACAATTGTTATCACTTGATTTTTCACAGCCTTAAAATTTCTATTGGGAGCCCTGTGGTGTGCACCTGGCTTCCTCCCCACAAAGATTATACACCCATTTTAGAGGCGTTTGTCCTGCTCTTTCTATCCCCCAAAACTTGGCAGAGCATTGGTGTGGTTCCTTCTCATTTGAGGAAGGTATTTTCCAAGTCAATGATTTGCAGGAATGAGGGGACCTGTCTTTGCCCCAACATGGGGACAGCTGCTTTGGAAGGAGATAAACAAGACTGCACAGCACATTCACCCCAGAAGGCAGTGAGCTTACAAACAATTTACGTTCCAGTTTTAAAAAGTGCAGAAATCCCTTAAAAATGAAAGGGTTTATTAACTTTGTGCTATTGCGAAGAGGGGAAATGGAAGCCTTAAGACAGGTATGATAACTGAGTATAGTAGTTTAATGACATGGTATCTCACATATCACATTGCATGTGGTCTACATGCTGCCACCCTAGGGGAATATGACTGCCCCCAGAAATGTCAGATACTTTCCCAGATTCTCAACTAAAGATCTATGAAAAAGAAGGAAAGCCCACCACCCTTTTCACACACATACTAGAAAAATCCTTCATTTGGAGGTCCTAGACAAATATAAGAATAATGTAAACTCTGAGCAAGATTTAGAAACAAGATTCTTGGGTCATTAAAACTATGAAAAAC